CTTGTGCAGCAGGCGGAGAAACCGCTGAGCTAAATCCCCGGCCCCTTTCCCTCTTTTGAGGTAGGTGTACTTAAAGTAAGCCAAATATAAAATTATACTAAATTCTTATACATTATATAGGAAACAAAGGAGCTAAAAGGAACGCAAAATATTGGAGATGACAAATTTTACATAAATGGGCAAGAAAGGCCCTCCTGAGTCGCTGATTACAGAGTCAAGATTCAAAAGAAACGAGAGGATTCCAGAATACCCTTTGAGGGCCTTGAGGCAGGGGAGGTCCAGGGAGCCCAAAGTGCCCTCTGGGACAGCCTGACTGACCAGAGAGGTTGGAGTTGAAGCTGGAAAGTAAACAGAGGAGATGGAGAAAGAGGATAAACATTCATAGGCTCTTTTAGATGAGGGCATTGCAAGGAGTGTGGCTTTTACTCATTGAGCTGAGGGCTCATTAGGTGTTCTGAGTAGATGAGTAATAAACTCTGCCTGTGTCAATAGGAACATTCTGGTCGCTGTTTTTCAAAATTTATTTTTATCAGTACATGTTTGCAGTACACAATGATTAAATTCATTACAGGGAACTGGTGCATGTACATAACACATCTCAATACTATTTTTTTTCCCTTCCCTTCCACCACCTTTAAAAAATTTTTTTTTACTCTGGTGTGAAAAACTAAAGGTGTAAATAAGGATCGAAATGTGTAATTGATAATGTGTAATAGGAATAAAAGGTCTAAAGGAGTAGGGGGAGTGGGAGGTGTGGGGGAAAGGAAAGAAGGGAAAAGAAAAAAAATACGAGAAAAGGAAAAAAATGGAAACAAAGTCTGTAAATAGGGAAGCGTGGAGGGGGTGAAGGGAGGCAGAGGAATGGGGAAAAAAATGAGAATCAAGATACATCATGTAAAGGTACAAGATCCCAATGATGAGTGTAACTGTATTGTATACCTAAAATGTACCAATAAACTTAATGGAAAAAAAATGTTTTTCCAGCCTTAGATTCATTTATTTATTTTAAAAGTCAGAAAAGCTTGTACAAGGGGCAGTAAGGAATGCATGAAGACCAGCCAGTACTATACCAAGGATCTGCCCAATTTATGCCAAGGTGATAGTAGCGGGGCAGTAAAAAGGTGTCTTAGTCACTTTAACTCACTGCTGGGACAAAATGCCCAACTCTCGCAACTTTAAGGAGGAAATACTTATTTTGACTCACAGTTTTTAGAGGCTTCATTCTACAGTTGGCTGCCCAAGGAAGGAAGGCACGCTAAAAGGGCTGGAGTGGAGGGAGCTGCTCTCGTGATGCCAATGAGGAAACAGAATTCGAAAAATAGAGTCCGGGAGTGAGATAACCCCCTCCTGGAGATCCGCCTCTTCCTGCAGCTTCACTTCCAGCAGCACGGCACGTTCAGCTGCTGAGTACATCAGGAGGTGATTCCAGGATGAGTACAGTGACCCGGGACCCAATCACCTTCCACAAGAGCGGCCTGTGAGCCCATGAGGCTTTAGAGCCCATTTGTGATCTAAAGAACTGTATAACAGAAGGTAAAGATGGCAGATCCTGACTTACCTTTTGACAATTGAGTGAAATAAACTCGATGAGGCATTGGATATAGCTTATAAGGGAAAGAAGTTAAAATGACGCTTAGTTACTTAAAAAAAAATTTTCCCCTGGTTACCAAAATAACAGAGTTTCCGTGTATTGAGAGGGCAGAACAGAAAGTGCATGCTTAGGAGGACAGGTGAATCTCAGCATGCTGATTTGAAGATGGTGAGTTTGAGATGTTAATTAGTAAGCTGGCTTGAGAGGTCAAGGTAGGAGATGCAAAGTACAATCATCACTGTGACTTTATTCAAGCTGGAAGACCAGATCAGATGGTCTAAGAGGTAAACTAAAAGAACATAGTTGAACAGCTGAGGGAGTGCAGGCACATCCTGGATCAAGGTCCTAATCCCCTAGTTCCGTGATAGCGAACCTTTTAGAAACCGAGTGCCCAAACTGCAACACAAAGCCCACTTACTTACTGCAAAGCACCAACACTGCAATTAAGTGTGAATACTGAGGTTTAAGTTTAGAAAAAAAACAGTTATCTCAGTTATCTGATGCTCAACTGCTCGGGCAACTTGGCTTGCATGCTGACAGAGTGGGCTTTGCTTGCCTGCTGCAGCACACGTGCCATAGCTTCTCCACCACTGCCCCAGTTCCTGGTGTTAATGTAGTTAGAAACGTTTTGTTACACCATGGGGTTATACTCACAGACCACTGAATCTTCAGGTGAATTAAAAAAAACTTGTTTGGCACAACACACCATTAGCCAACTGTCCTCCAAGCAGGGACAACACTTGGTCTATGCCAAGTTCTTGGTATCATTACTGTCCAGCTAGCCTGGGGCATTGCTTCTGGTAGTACCCACTGATCACAGAATTCAAAGGAACCATCTTTCTTACTCTTCATCCTGTTAAAATTTTCACTGAACTTACCTTTTTCGAAAATGATTTTGTATAATTATATTCTGAAGCCCTCATTGGAACACAAGGTCCTTGATGATAGAGACTACCTTGGTCTTACCAGCTGCTCTAGCCTCTGTACCTAAGAAAAATTCCTGATGCATAAGAATTATTTATTAAGTGTTCATTATAAAAATCTGTCATCTTAAAGAGGCTCTATCCTTCATAAACATAGGGAGGTGACGTGGTTATGTATCTTCTTTTTGCCCAGAATGACTGCTGTTCTCTTATACAACCTTAAAGTTTCCTTAAAAGCAATTCTCTATTTCTTCATATTCAGCCAAATGGAAATTATTCCTGAACTGGATTTAATTTTAATTACAATCAGAGATAAATAGGAAATAATAGGAAGGGACTTTTTGTAATACTCAAATCTTTAAAAGAGACAGGAACAATGATTAGTTAGACCCTACACTTTGTAAAAGGAATTTGTTAGCCTTTATCTTATATGTATGCTACAGTGAAATAATTTTTGGTTTATAAATTAGAACAACTGGCTTTAAATCTTGATTTGGGGACATATTGAATATGAGTGACCATGGATGTTATCATTTTACAGTTACTTTTTTCATTGCCAAATAGGAAAAAGAGCACACATTTTACAAGATTTTAAAGGTGAATGAATTATTTGGTCCTGTAAATGCCATGTGCCTACCTTGCTGCGATTGACCCAGGCAAGCTCACCCAGAGTGTGTATCCCCAACAACATACTGTGTGGAACAATTGAGGACTTTACAGGCAAGCAGAAAAAGTGTAGTGCTGGCTGTCTTTCCCTGTTCGTCATAGAGGCAAACTGAGACTTTATCAGGATCATCCCAGGCCAGTATTCCTCAGTCTCTAGACTTCTTATGAGAGACTAGAGGATTTGCCAGCTGTTTTCTGCATCAAAAGGAACCCTAATAGGGATTGGAGTTTGTGGAGAGCAACCATCTACCCCCGATTAATGGCTTTTTCGGCTAGCATGATGCAAGTGGTGTCTCATTAAATCTGCTTCAAGTAATAGGAAGGACAATAAAATGCCTCACAAGTTGTGTGCACAGGATCTGAAGTTTTCTTGATAATAAAGTTCTGACTTTCTTCCTTCTTCTCCCTCTGGTATTAATATAAGATTAACATTCCTAGTTTTCAGCTTGGAGCATGAAAGTTCCTGCTCCAAATCTTCACAGCTTCTATGATACTTAAATAGACAGATGTCTCTACTTTACTCTTTGCTCATAAGCTTTTGCTTCATCATTCAGGAGCTGAGGACTTGTAGAAAAGAATTCTAACTTTTGGTCTCTGATTCCTTAACTGATGTGGTCAATTTTAGCATTTTACTGATGTGGGGAGTTAACTCATTTAAACATTCTTAAATTATCTCTACATAATGTTTGCTATTACTGAGAATGACAATAATGTTTTTATTAATTGTTATTGCATGATAGCTACTTTTCTAAAAGAATGAAACAATGAATAATGAAAAGAACCCAATCCTTTGAGTTACTCAGATAAGCGTTTTAATTCTAGGTCCAAATGTTCTAATTTTGTTACGTTGGCAAGTTGCCTAGGTTTGTGACAAGAAATGGTATTAATCATTCAAGCTTAACAATTGTAAAGGTTAGACAATTAATATATAATCAATGCCTGCTCCATCAATGGATATATAATAAATGCAGTTGTTTATTAGTTTAACATTTCATCTCTCTAACTGTTTGCATAATGTGATTATGCAAGTAGTATACTTACTGTAAAAACAATGAATTATATGTCAGAAGTGAGGAACATAGAATAAAATTTATGTAAAATCCCATTTGCCTAAGACACCACTTTTATAGACCTTCTTTTCATGATCTTTTGTTTGTATACTCATATGAATGTGCATATGAAATATTTTACAGAATTATACTTCTTTTATCATGGTACTTTTAATCACTTTATTATGCATATTTGATGTATAAGAAACTACACATTTAAATCATATAAATGGAAAAATTTGACTTGTGTATACACCATCATCATCATCAGAGTCAAGATAATGACTGTATCTATCACCCCTGATGTTGTCTTCATACTCTTTTTGTGACATGTCTGTCTTGCCCACGCTGCTCTCTGTCATTCTAGATTAGTTTGCATATTCTAGAATTTTATATAAATGGACTGGCACAGTGTATATTCTCTTTGTGTCTGACCTCCTTCATTCAACATTATTTTGAGATTCATCCAGGTTGTTTCACTGACCACTTGTTCACTCTTCTTATACTGAATAGAATACAGTAATACAGATGTTTTCCAAAATGTTTATCCAGTAATTTGCTGAAGAACAGTTGGATTATACTCAATTTTTGACTTTACAAATAAGTTTTTATGGACATTTAAATACAAGTCTTTGTATGGACATATATTTTCATTGCTTATAAATATTTAAGAGTAGAATGTATTAACTTTTAAAGATTTCTAAATGCTCTTCCAAAATTGTACTGTTTTAAATTCCCATCAGCATTATATAAGAATTCCAATCCATGGCCGCCTTATTAATACTTTTTTTTCTCCCTAAGGCATTTTAATGGCTATGTGCTATCTCATCACAATTTTAATTTGTGTTTTTCCTATTGATTGGTGATGTTGAACATCTATTTAAGTGCTTTTTCCCACCCATCTACTTCAGTGACATGTTCAAATCTTTTGTTCATTTTTATTGGATTGTGTATTTTCTTATTTTTGAGTTCTGAGAACTCATTACATTATGGATACAAGTTCTTTAGCAGTTTTGTGGACTGCAAATATTTCTTAAATTTCTGGATTTCATTTTCTTTTCTTAAGAGTTTTTTTTGCCTCAATAAAAATAAAAGTTCTTGGTTTTGATGAGACCCAATTTATCAAGCTTTTATTTTATGGATTACTCTTTTGATGTGTGTTTAATAAATATTTATCTCACTTTAAACCGCAATGATTTTCTCCTGTTTTCTTCTAGAACTTTTATAGTTTTAGGTTTTATATTTAGGTCTATGATCAATCTTAAGTTCTTATTTTTTCAGTGTGGTTGAAACTGTAAATTAAATTCCACTTTCCTTTTTGCCTATGGACATCTAATTGTCACAGTACCACTGTTGAAAAGACAACACATATACATCTGTTTTCCACAGAATTACCTTTGTACCTTTTTCAAAGTCAGTAGAACACATCTGTAGGTCTATTTTTGAACTCTTCACTCTTCATTAATTTTGTTTATGTTGATTCCAAAAGCACACACTGTCTGGAGTATTATATCTTTAGAATAGATTTTGAAGCTAGATATTCTGCAACTCTGACCTTACTTAAAGTTATGTTGGATATTTTAGGTCCTTTGCATTTTTATGTGAATTTTAGAATTAGCATATGATTTTCCATGAAAGAAGCACATTTAGGTTTTGATATAGAAAATAGAGAACTATGGGGGAATAATTAGCATCTTATTTTAAGCCTCCTATTAAATATATTCATTTGTATTTTAAAATATCAAAAGTTTTTAAAATAAAGTAATATAGATCAATAATACAGTATAGCTTCTTCATATTATGAGGATGTTTTGGCATTACTGGATATTGAACTCAGGAATGCTATACACTAAATTACATCCCCAATATTTTTTATTTTTTATTTTGAGACAAGGACTTTCTTTTTTTTTTTGTACCGGGGATCAAACTCAGGACCTTGCGCTTGCAAGGCAGGCGCCAGAACCACTTAGCTAAATCCCTGGCCTTAGACAGGGACTTTCTAAGTTGCCTAGGATGACTCAAACTTGTGATCCTTCTGCCTTGTTATCCTCTAGTTTAGCTGGGTTTACA